AAACCTTGATCACCTACTTCCCAAATGAACAAATGTGACACCACCTATGACTGCTGCACATCTGCCATATGGTTTATAAGCTGCTTCTCCGCTCATATGCCGTAATCTATTCAAGATTGATGGACTGAACACATCGACTCAAGGTTGAGGGACTGATTACCTCATTCTCCTCCTGTTCTTCAAGTTTCTCCTATGTAGGGACTGATGAAGCCACTGTGTGGCGAAACGTTTCCTCAATAAAGATACCCAAGAGTTGCACATGTGTCTAATTTGTCTACAGTGATACAGTTCATGCAGGTTATAAAACTTACTGTATGTACGTTTTCACAATCCATTCAGATCTGTGTGTATTTACTTCTAAACACTTAGTAATATTCATTGTGACAGTGTCTGGTTCATTTCATAACATTCTAATACCGAGTACAGTGTTAATCTCAACAATCCTATCACTGATACTAGAAATACCAAGCTCCTTCTTCATATTAAGAACCTTTGTAGATTTAGGACAGCCAAGAATAATTCTGAGAGCTTCATTTTGCATTTACTCCAAGGGTCGGAGAGAACTTTCTCTAGCTAATATCAACATGGGAGCAGCATAATCAATTAATTAAGAACCTAACATAGGCTATGTACATCATTCCTCCTATTCTCATATTAGCACCATAGTTGGGGTTGTAGCCAGCAACAGCTTTGACAGCATTTACCCTATCATTGCATTTCTTATTTAGTTGTGGTATAGTGGATTTGTTAACCCTTTGAGGGTTTCAGCCGTACTAGTACAGCTTACAACCCAGGGTTTTTGACGTACTAGTACGCCTAAATTCTAGCGCCCTCAAATCTAGTGGGAGAAAGCTGGTAGGCATACATATGAAAGAATGGGTCTATGTGGTCAGTGTGCGCAGTATAAAAAAAATCCTGCAGCACACAGTGCATAATGAGAAAAAAAAAACTGACCGTGTTTTTGGAATAAAACAGCGACTTTGCACTGTATTTTCGTATGGTATTTATTGTTGTATTCTAGTTTTCTTGGTCTCATTTTATAGAATGGAAGACATATTACAGAAATTGAGATGATTTTGACTGGTTTTACAATGAAAAGTACCTTGAAATTGAGCTCAAAGTAGCAGAAATGTTCGATTTTTACCAAAGTTCAAAAGCAAACAAATCATGCCAAGCATCCAATACACGTCAACTGGTGAGTCTAATATTCTTTCACAAGTACGCTGATATTATTTATACCATTTCTACACTAATGCAGCAGTCTGCATAACAGTAAATTTTCTATTTTTTGTAAGAATAAAAATTGAAAGTGGAAAGCCAAAGAAATATAAGAGGGGACTGGGGATGTGACTAACGAACAGAAGAAATATTATTTTAGTGCCAGGAATGTCTTTCTTGTTTATTCTGGACCCTATTTTGAAATTGGCATCTTTTGAAATTTGTGTGAAATTGGCAAAATTGCTAAATGCTGACCACTGTATTGGATAGTTGAAATCAGTAAATGGGTGGTTTCTTGTACTCATTCAATAAAAAAAATGGAGTTCTAGAGAAATAGTTACGATTTTTGTCGACTAGTACACTGGAATTGGCCGAAGATAGGGCTCAAAGTGGGCAAAATCGCCGATGCATAAACATCGTCGATACCGCTAACTTTGCGAGAGCATAATTCCGTAAGTTTTCCGTCAAATTTCATACTTTTGGTGTCATTATGATTGGGAAAAGATTCTCTATCTTTTCATAAGAAATTTTTTTTTTTTTTTTAAATTTGGCCGACCCTGAGAACAAGTCTCGGAGAGGGCCTGTCGACCCTCAAAGGGTTAAAGGGTACATCTACTCCAAGATATCTGCAAGTTTTAACGTAGCTAATGTTTTCACCCTGCAAATACATGGGTGGGGATGTCATTTGCTTGTTAATATCTTTGTTTTAGAGAAAGATATTATGAGGCCTAGTCGATTACAAATTGCTTGAACTTCATTAAGAATGGTACTCATCTTATGCCCTGTTGTATGGATCATGATGTCATCAGCATAACTTTTAGCTATATGTTTAGGTGAGGAAGGTAGAGCATTTAGGAGAGCATTAATCAGAATATTAAATAGCAAGGGACTGAAAACTCCTCCCTGTGGTGTACCTAGGGACATTTCTTTAGGCTCACTTCTAAAGTCTTGGTAGAGAACAGAGGATACTCTGACAGGCATCCTATTATCCAGCAGAGTAGGCTACCACCAATATTCATTTTGGCTAGTTCATGTAGTATAACAGTTCTGTTTGCGATATCAAATGAAGATTTTAGATCAAGAAAAGTGATAAAACTAGTAGAGGTGTGTGCAGTGAGAATGGTGGAAATACAGTTCTGCACACTTTTTACCTTTCATGAACCCACAGAGGTATTGGGAAAGTTGGTGTCTGATTCTGTGGTACAGTCTGTTAGGTATCATTCTTTCAAAAGTTTTGCAAATACTACAACTAGTTAAGGAAATCGGTCTAAATGTATCAGGCTGTTGGGGCTTGGGGATAGGCACAATGAGACTATTGGTCCAGGAAGTAGGAAGAACTCCCTCAATGTAACTGGTATTATACAGTGCCAATAAAGGATTATCAGGCATGTGCCTTAGAGTTCTGAGAATATCATAGGTTATACGATCCTCTCCAGGAGCAGGTGATCGACCTTTAGTTAATGCATTATCTCATTCATACTTGGTGAAGAGGCAATCATTCTCTAAACTTTTTCTAATATGAGATGGAGAGTTTTCATGCCTGGATGTTTTAGACCAGTCATTTATGAAGTCATTTGCTTTTTCAAGAGGAAAGGGATGAGCAACATTGCCAGTCTTTTTCCTGGTTATTTTATTTTTATATTTCCAAGCCAAACTTAAATGGGTGGACCTATTTAATCCACTAACAAATTGTTCCTATTCCTGTTGCCTAAGTTCTTGCTTTCTGTTCCTTGCATTTGTTAGTGCAGCTTCGAATGTTCTGAGCAGGTCTGGGGTTCTGCATTCACGGTATGCTTTTCCAATCCTCCTAGCTGCATGTGTTAGATTGCGTAGCTGTGGATCATCATAGTATTTACAATGGTTTTTATTGTCATTTATAGTGGAAGGTCTGTGTTTTCTTTTCCTGCCCACTTAATCTGTGAGGACAGTCTCAATAGTGGCAACTAAATCATCATTGAATTTTTGTGTGCCAATGGGTTCATAATTCTTATACTGTACCATTGATCCAAGTGGTTAAAAAAGTTATCTCTGTGGTCTGGATTGAGAATAAGTTTCCTCCTGTATTTAGCTCCTTGATTGCTGGAGATATGATCAAGATTGATAGTTGTCAGTCTTGGGAAGTGATCAGATAGATCATCAACCATGACAAAGTCATGCATCGTATATGATTTATTAAATCCAAGGCACAGATCTAATACACCACCATGTATGTGAGTAGGCTCAGTAGTGCCCACAATTTGAATATTATCATGCTCATTTAGCAATTTAACTAGTTAAGTTCCATTGGTGTTTGTTATAGACCCACCAATATCCTTATGTCTGGCATTAAAGTCTCCAAGAATGAGGGTAAGTTCACTGTTGATGTGATCTGGTAAAGCATCAGGTCGAAGCTGGTTCGCTGGAGCATAAAGATTAAAAATGTTTATGGAAAAATTGCCTGCATATACTTTGACACCATGATACTGCACGTTTACTCGACTCTGTAGGGTAAGGAGTGAATGTGGCAAGTTCTTTGACATACATCGCACAACAGTTGGTTGACCTTAAATTATAAGCTGCATATCCAGGCAACTTTGGTGGAGGTGCTCCATCTTTCAATCTACATTCCTGCAAACAGATGACATCAATATTCTTGGTTGCACTAATATGATGATGGATTTAGTTAAGCAGTGGTCCATAAGCAAACATTTTCTTTGCAGTCGTGTCGTTAAGATTTCGTGAGTCATGATGACAGCTTTAAGGGGACCTGAGCTAGAGTTCATCATGGCCATGCTGGCGGGAGATTCATCTGTAAAAACTTGCATTTGTGGTCACAGTGGTGGCTATGCTAACCTTCCTATGGTGTATAAATATATCTAGTTGGATGAATATTGTAGCCAGCTGGCCCAGTGGCTAACGCACCGGTCTGGAGTTTTATGACTCGCTAGCCGTGAGTTTAGTCCCTGCCCATAACATGGTTAGTCTAAGTATTAGGTCAGTATTGAATTAAGTAAGTAAGTTTATTTAGGCAGAGGTACGACATAAGTGCAGTTATCATATACAGTGGACCCCCGGTTCGCGAAGCCATCGGTATCCGATAAATCCAGTATCCGAAGCATTATATCGCAAAAAATTTGCCTCGGTTCCCGTTACAAAACCCGGTATGCGATACGATTCGTACGAGACGTGTCCAGTGTTTACAAGCCAGCCAGTGTGCGCGCATCTAAGGATACATTTGGTACATTCTATATTATCCATCTTATCACTGTTTTTGGTGCTTGTTTCTGCAAAATAAGTCACCATGGGCCCAAAGAAAGCTTCTAGTGCCAACCCATCGAGACCAAGGGTGCTAATGACTATTGAAATTAAGGAAATGGGTGCAAAGTGGCTTGAAGTGCAAACCTTTTTTGATGAAAATCACCCTGACACAGCTACTGCAAGCCGTGTTGGCAACCTGTACACTGACAATGTTGTGAACCACTTAAGGAAAGTCATAAAGGAATGAGAGGTACAGGCCTCTATGGACAGATGTGTTGTGCAACAGAAGTCCAGTGACTCTCAAGCTGGTCCTAGTGGCATTAAAAGAAGAAGGGAAGTAACCCCGGAAAAGGACTTGCTACCTCAAGTCCTAATGGAGGGGGATTCCCCTTCTAAACATTAAAAACTTCGACACTCTTCCCTCCTCCCATCCCATCAATCATCACCAGATCTTCATTAAAGGTAAGTGTCAATTATTCTATTGTTATTATTGTTATTGTAATTATTATATTGCATTAAACTTAATATATCATGTGGTAAAAGTTTTTTTTCATACTTTTGGGTGTCTTGCACGGATTAATTTGATTTCTATTATTTCTTATGGGGAAAATTGATTCGCTTTCCGATAATTTTGGTTTACGATGAGCTCTCAGGGACGGATTAATATCGCGAACTGGGGATCCACTGTACAGTGTAAATTACCTAGGATAATAAAAAAAAAAAAAAGAGAGTGACTTGCTCAAACAACTTTCAATCTAACGTTCATACTCTTGCACTTCCTATCTCCACCATTCTTCTACATCAGAAAACTGTGCTATTTTATGTTATTGTCCTTTTATTTTGACATTGCTGTTGATTTTTGTATATATCTTCATACAACCTAATTACAGTATATGTCTAATAAAAGAGACTAATAGGGGGAGGGGGTGTTTGCTTTAGTGAAAATCGTTATATTGAAAGTTTCAGTTGAACAGATGTAGTTCGCCAAATCGATTGACTACTGGACGTGGACAAATGCCCAGTAAAACAGACTACATACTTCTTTCAACAAACTGGCCGTATCCCACTGAGGCAGGGTGGCCCAAAAAGAAAAACGAAAGAAAACAGACTTAGTTTGCTGTATTGATGAACTACTAGTTGGTTGATGGATCTATAATTTCCTAACAAATAGAGCACAAAGAGTAGTAGTCATCAGAGTAAAGTCTGAGGTGGCTACAGTGAAAATCTCTGTTCCACAAGGCACAGTACTCGCTCCTATCTTGTACCTCATCCTCATATCGGACATAGACAGAGATATAAGCCACAGCGCCATGTTTTCCTTTGCAGATGGCACCCAGATTTGCATGACAGTGTCCTCCATTGAAGACACTGCAAGATTCCAGGCGGACATCAACCAAATCTTTAAATGGGTTGCAGATAACAACATGAAATTCAGTGATGAGAATTTCAATTACTCCGATATGGAAAATGTGAGGAAATTAAAACTTCATCAGAGTACAAAACAAATTCCAACCACACAATAGAGCAAAAAACCTAATGTCAAAGACCTGGAAGTGATCATGTCAGAAGATCTCACCTTCAAAGACCATAACATTGCATCAATAGCATCTGCTAGAAAAATAACAGGATGGATAATGAGAACCTTCAAAACCAGGGATGCCAAGCCCATGATGACTTCAGGTTGCTTGTTCTATCTAGGCTGGAATATTGCCACACACTAACAGCACCTTTAAAGGCAGGTGAAATTGCTGACCTGAGAAATGTACAGAGAACCTTCACGGCACAAATAACTGCGATAAAACAGCTCAGTTACTGGGAATGCTTCAAGTTCCTAAACCTGTACTTCCTAGAATGCAGGCGGGAGAGATACATGATTATATATACTTGGAAAATCCTAGAGGGATTAGTACCAAACTTGCACACGAAAATCACTCCGTGTGAAAGCAAAAACTTGGCAGATGATGCAACATCTCTCCAATGAAAAGCAGGGATGTCACTAGTACGATAAGAGACAACACAGTAAGTGTCAGGTGTCCAAGACTGTTAAACTGCCTCTCAGCATACATAAGAGGGATTACCAAGAGACCCTGGCTGTCTTCAAGCAGGCACTGGACAGGCACCTAAATTCAGTGCCTGACCACCCGGGCTGTGGTTCGTATATCAGGTTGTGTGCAGCCAACAGTAACAGCCTGGTTGATCAAGCCCTGATCCACCATGAGGCCTGGTCACAGACTGGGCCGCGGGGGTGTGGACCCCGGAACTCTCTCCAGGTATACTTCAAGTATACTGGATATAACAGAAAAAACTAGTACAGTATACAATACAGTATTGTAAATGTACCTGAAAATAAAATAAATGAAAAGTACAGCACAGTGCTAGAGAGTACAATACAGTAATTTTTCTTACCTTTCTGGTGAATAGATGAGCTTACTAATGTACAATACAATCTAGTGATGACCCATAATAACACATTGTGAGTCAGAGGAGCTGTAAAGCTCTAGCGGTAACATTGTAGATGGTGTGGGGAAAAGGTAGATGGTGAGGGAGATGTAGAAGTAGATGGCTGAGGTTTACTGGTAGATGGTTTGAGAGACATACATACCTATGAAGAGTTTCACTACTCTCAGATCCCAGCCATGGGCCAGGCTCATCTGGTGCTTGGCTGGTCAACCAGGCTGTTGCTGCTGGAGGCCCACTGCCCCACATATCCATCACAGCCTGGTTGAACTGGCACCTGGTGAAGATACTTGTCCACTTTCCTCTTGAAGGCTTCTACACTTGTTCCAGTCATGTTTCTGATATCTTCTGGTAAGATGTTGAATAGTCTGGGAACCCGAATGTTGATACAGTGTTCCCTTATTGTTCCCACTGCACCCTTGCTCCTCACTGGGTTTATTTTACACTTCCTCCCGTATCTCTCACTCCAGTATGTCGTTATGGCAATGTGCAGATTTGAGACCAGGCCCACGAGTACTTCCCAGGTATATATTATCATGTATCTCTTTCTCCTCCGCTCCAGTGAGACTTGAAGGCGTTCTCAATAATTTAGGTGCTTTACTGGCTCAGTGTGAACCATAAATGATCTCTGTATTTGTTCCAGCTCTGATATTTCTCCTGCTTTGAATGGGGCTGTCAGCACTGAGCAGTATTCTAAATGAGGGAGCACCAGCGATTTGAAGAGTGTCACCATTGGCATTATTTCCCTTGTTTTGAAAGTTCTCAATACCCACCCCATCATCTTCCTGGTTGTCGTGATCTTTGTCTTGTTACAGTCTTTAAAAGAAAGGTTACCTGACATAATTATTCCCAGGTCTTTTACATGTTCCTTTCATTCTATTTGGTGACCCTCTTGAGTTTTGTATATATTGTTCCTTTTGAGTTCTTCATACTTTCCATACCTAAGCAGCTGGAACTTATCACCGTTGAACGTCATGTTGTTCTCCACTGCCCACTGGAAAACCCTGCTTATGTCTTTCTCTAATTTTTCAGTGTCCTCTACCGTAGTGACTTTCATGCTTATTTTAGTGTCGTCTGCAAATGATGATACAAAAGTGTGACGGATGTGAATGAGGAACAAGTTGAAAGAATGAATCCAACTTAATTTGTTTGGCATGTTGATGTTGCTCCCTTATATGACAGTTTCCCTAAAGGTGTATAAGTTCTGATATTAAGTCTGCACATTTCGTCTGAGAGGTCAGTGAATGTGATGATAATATCAATTGTATCTTGTACTGCTGACAGTTTTGGTGACCTCATAGTCTCTCTTGTCATCATCACTATCCTCTTCTTGTATTGGGTACCAATAGCTTCACCTGCAGTTTCTACATCACTCAGCATCTGGTAACCAAGATCTCTATTATTTTTCTTCCAGCCATTCAGTCACATCTTGCTCTGTAATGTTTTATTTCTCCTACTCTGTGAATTGTTTGATGAAAATTAGTGGCCTTGAATCTCTCCAAGTTTAACTCATTATTAATATAAGTTTCTTCCATTGCTGAAGTCAACCATCACTTGCCCTAAATTCTATCCCCATATGTCTTGCTAGATTCTTAGCAGCAGAGTGAAGCTCAACAGAACAAATATGAACATCAGCAGTGCACTGTTGAGACTATGATTTATGCTATGCTGTTTCAACCCTTGTATCATGTGCCATTTTCATGTGCTTCCTAGGAATACCTAAAAAACATTTTAGGCTATCATCTACACTGCACTGCATAGTATATTGTAAAATCTTTTCTTTGCTTCTATGAATGTTAGACACTGTTTTGCTACACCATACTCCTCACACACTAGTGCCACTGAAACACCAGCATCCTGCTTCCTTATTAATTCAAGTTTCTGCTTAACAGTTAAGGTCACACACTTCTTGGCACCATCACTTATTGAAGGTCATTGTTAATACGTAACTGTAACCGCGTATAGGTGAGTACATGCTTTACAGGCAACATGCTGCACTCTCACCCTGTGATGTCTTGTGCAAATTCTCTTCAGATTCTGAAATAAAGCATAACAAAGATCTTTTTTTTTTTTGAAATTTAAGTGTAAAAGCTACAATGTAAGTGGAATTGTGAATACACCTACCATCCGACTTATGACCTGCTCAACATACGACCACTTGACTTACAACTATGTTTTGTATGCAAATGTTCTGGGAAATAAACAACTGTTTGTGTTGTACATAGTGTTTCTCCTAATCCTTACAGTATAAAATACAGTACTAACAGCATAAAGAGTAAAGTAAAAAATGAAATACCAAAATAAAACTATAAAATAAAATCATTACAATAATGTGATATTGATATTCAGTAGTAAGGTTCGACTGACGTCCATTTTGACTTACGACTGGTTAGTTGGAACCGTGCTCGGTTGTAAGTCGGATGGTAGGTGTATTATGCTAGATACTCAGTAGGTCGGGGTAAGAAAATCCTGAGGGACATTGACAGCAAATTGAGTGTACATTGTCTGTTCTTACATTCAAGGAACAAGTGTAGTTTGTTAATATGAAATCATATATTCATTGGTCAGTACAGTAAAGTTCAGTAAAATGAACCATTATAAGGCGAACATCGGATAAAATGGAAAAAATATTGATAAAGTGCACCAAGTCCTATTACTGTAAATAGCAAGTTTATCTGGCATAGGCATTATCCAGGACGTGCCCTTCATAGTTCCTCGGCAGCTGGGCCAATGTCTCGGCCTGCATCAGTTTGTTACAGTCTGCAAGCGCTCTCACATACCATCATTATTTAATCTCCAGCTTTTCCCTGGATTTTCATTGTTTTCCATTGCAGTACCATATTCATTGTTATTAACAATTTCCTCTAAAGCAAGTAATAGTGCCAAGAATGTGCGTGTGAACTTGACTGTTAATTAGAAACTTGAATAAGCTCATCTTTCCACCAGAAAAGGTAAGAAAATTACTGTATTATACTGTACTTTTAATTACTTTCTTTTCTAGGTATAGATACAGATGTACTGCACAGTACTGTATTATAATGTACTCTAGTTCATTTCTAGTATGTCTGATAGTCCATTACTACAACAGCCTAAGTTTGCTTTGTTGAACATTTGTCCATGTCTGGAAGTGTTCTGCTTAATCAAGACTTTCACTGTAATGGATTTTTTGCTAAAATAGACACCCCTTGCCTCTAGTAGTTTGTTTTATGGAGGTTTCACTGTACCAAATTATTCCTCATAATTGCACTAGTTACTGTCATTCTTAACAGTATTTAGTATACATAAATTATTAGTTTGAGTATATTTAACTAGATAGCATAGTGTTCATAGTAATTTCAGAAAGTTAATTTGAAATACAGCCTCTCCTCACTTAACAGTGGAGTTCCACTCCTAAGACCACATCGAACTTAGGAATGAGTGAGGAGCATACTATAATGGTAGTGGGTTTTTGTCAACCATCTTTGATATTATTTTAATGACACCTTTGCACCATTTATAACATTTCTGGCATATTTTTAAATGTTTATACAGTAGTTTACTGTACATTGTAATAAACAGGATAGAGGAAATTAGTGCTAATATACATTATTTAGGTGTGCTTACTTGTCATAGAGCCCATCATAAGTCTGAGTCGTCGGTAACCGAGTACGTTTGTCTCTAAGTGAGGAGAGGCTGTATTGTACAATATTTACATTTTTTTTTTTAACTGGCTGTTTCCCACTGAGATAGGATGACCTGACAGAAAAGAAAACACTTTTACTGTCAGTAATTCAATCACTGTTTTGCCAGAAGGGCATTGACGTCACAGTTCAGATGACCCTCCAAACTACATCCCCACCCCTGTTGAACAGTACTGTACCTCTCAGAGTCTCTTCTCGAATGTTACCTTACTCTCATTCCAACAGCATGTCAAATCATAAAACCCACTTGCCTTCTCTCACTCGTCCCAAATATGCTCACACAAGCCTGTTGGATGTCTGAGCCTCTAGCACTTGAAACTTCCTTTACCCCTCCCTTCAACCTTTCCTGGGATAACCCATACCCCTTCTTTTGCTCCAGATTTATATGCCCTCCTAGTCATCCTATTTTTATCCATCCTGTAAATGTTCAGACCCTTTCAATAACCCTTCCTCAGTCCTTTGAATAATACTTTTGATAATTCTACACCTATTCCTAATCTTCAAACTCCAAATTCTCTGCACAATATTTACACCATACATTGCCCTCTAATGTGACATCTCTGCTGCCTCCAGCCTCCTCCCTGCAACGTTCAAAACCCATACTTCAATCCCATACAGCAGTGTTAGTATCACTATACTCTGGTACATTCCCCTTTCTGCTTCCATGGTGTGTAGAGTAGTAATGTCTCAAGGTATGCATGATTATCTTTAAAGAATGAGATACTGTACTTGCATGAAGTCATGCTCATTGCCAAGAATTGTAGTTGACTCTAATGTTCAGCTTGCATGATAAAACTGCAGATAAATTTAGCTCCACATTAATTTCTGTAGGTGATTTGATGTTCAGTATTTGTGGTGGCAGCTAATGATATCTGTCATTTGGAAAGAGCAAAGTGTGCAGAGGATGCATAACTCTTAGGCTAATTTTTTGGAATTATCCTTTTCTAAATTATTAGATAGACCAGGGTGACTTTAAGAAATTAAAGTTCTTTAATACCTAAATATTTCTTTTCTAATTTTACTCTTCTTTTTCAGAAATAGCAAGAGATTTTCTACATAGAACAACAAATCATAATGTTATCGTAGGTTTGATGTCCCCGGTTCATGACAAATATGGGAAAGAGGTAAGCAGTGCAGTATTTTTGTATGACTCCATCCCTTCTTGTGTACATTGTAAATATTGAGTGGGCATGTTTTGCTGAGAAATCACATTCACATAACTTTTCAGGTTTTTATGGGCATAAGCAAATTATTTGTTGTCCGATATTAATTATTTTTTCTTTAAAAAGTTTAGGACATTGCTGTATGACTACTACTTTTTAAAGGCATAAAGATAAAGATAAAAATAAATATAGAAAGATAAAGATTTTATTTCTTTGAATAGTTTACAATGTGTAATTACAATTTTGATTTATTAAATACAAAGAAAGCCACTATCATGTTGGGGCATTCTTTCAACATGTCTTGGTCTGGGACTGGGCCATGGGGTGGTGACCCCCAAATCATCATCAGGTAACCTTCAGTATATATAATTAGGTCATATACCTATTACAGTATTCAAAATTAATGAAATAAAAGTATGGGAAATGCAGAATTAGAAAAAGAAGTAACTAAAATAACATTTAAATTCTCCAAATTGAAGACATTTTTACTAATGCTAAAAATATATCAGACTCAAACCAATGTCTATTAATATTACATATACTGATAAGTACTCTGGTTCCTTATCACCAGCCATATCTGCTGAGATTACTTTCATAATAAATTCACTTAAAAAACCAGAGTACTGGTGAAGCAAAAGTATCAATCTTGATACTCAAGAGAGTTGTACATGTTAACTCAATGTGACATTTTACTGTGGTAATATCTTGCTCTCCAGGAACTATATCAAGCCTTTACATCTTGTTGGTAATTCTACCTTTCTTACTAATATTTGCCATTCTTTCTTGTATCAACCTTTGATATACAACAGAGCTACACACATACAATCATTAGTTATACTAATACATTTCACCAAATTACTGTACTTTTACAGTATAGTAACATTCTCAGAGAAGGTCAATTAGCCCAGTAGGTAAACCTGGTGATCTCTGACATTTCTGCCATTCTCATGAACGGTCCTATCTTTCTGTCAGACTCAGTCTGATTTCTTAACTGAAGCTAATTTGCTAAATCAGTTGTGAGCCCCATCCTCTGCTTGCTGTCCTTCCCTCTCCTGCTCTGCCATTTACCTCACATTTTCCATACAGTGCTGAATAACCCTTGTGGGTTTAATGCTTTCCATTACTAAAATAATAGAAAAAACTGCATGCCAAAACTGTATCAAATTTGACAGTACCATACAGAAACAAACATTTGAGAAAATTATCTTTCGGCAATTATTTTGAAGCATAGGCAAAACATTTATAGTATTACAGCACTTTTCCTGACATCTGTAGGCACACATACGGGCACACTCATGCACACACATACGCATCTACAGGCACTCTTACACATACTGCAAGTTCTTGCATTGTCTCTGTCTCTTGCACTTATGTTCATGGTGAAATTAGTAGTGTTTGGTCTTGGACCATTATTATGATACTGTAGTTACCTCAAGCCTGCCCAAAATGTTACTACTATGCAAAAAAAACTTACCTGTGTAAACCCTATTGCATGACTTTTTTAGCCATAATATAATGACTGTAATATACAGTACCATATATTTATTCTTCCTTGTGTAATGTAGATTTAATTTGTTAACTAGACTCCTGATAGTAGGTATAAATGTTATAAGTTATAGAAATACAGTTCAAGTATTTATAAATAAAACATTAATGTTTATTACATTAAGACACTGATAATCTAACACGTTTGGGAATGAATAATTGCCTGCTTTTATATTTTTCTGGTTTTTAGATCCTTAAACTGTACTGTGGACCATATAGTTTTTATTCAACAAAATTTATGTATAAATTTTAAACATGAGGTATTTAGAAATGTGTTAAAAATATTATTTATTTTGTAGAGGTCCGTTTGCAGTAAGCAGGCAGTATCACAGTCAGGTCAGCATTATTATGACAAGTTGCATTTACAATGTGTGTTCATGTGATTATCTATTTGATTACCCATTTGTAGTTACAGGAGCAAAGCTATGCTTATGGTGTCCTGTCTTCAGTGTTTAGTTTGTCATAGTTTTTTTTTTTTTTTTTTTTCTCCAATGGTTGTAGCACATAGTACATTACTACTTCTTGGATCCTATTTTAGCTGTCTACTGTTTGTAAAGAAATTTTCTAGGTTCCTTTGGTATCACATTTTTTTATACTGTAGTTTACAGTTGTGGCTTCTCTGTTCTCACTGTTGTTGGTGCTAAAAGAAATGTCCCTTATCTATTTTCTTGTATCCATTTTATGATCTTGTATGTAGTTGTACATCTTTTTTCCTCCTATCAGCTAATGAGGGCTTTCAGTTTTTTCACATTCTGTATTTCATATTTCTTAACTCAAGGAACCATTTAGTAGCATGTCTTTGGACTACTATATTATTTACATATTACTGTTGATGCAGATACCACACTACAGCTGCATACTTTAATTTTTTAATGTATGTTATGAATTATTTCTTATAATTTTATCATATGTATATTTTATCAAGGTTGTCTTGAAGTTTGCCATATAGTATATCATACATGCTGCTTCTTACCACGTGTGTGTTCCTCCAGTCATAATCGCTTGATTCAAATTATTCAGAGATTATTCAGGATTATAGTGCACAGTGTAGTATATTCATGATGTGACCTGTGCTCACTGTCCCTCATTTCCATTATGTGGCACTTTTCTACATTAAATGTCATCATTCATTTGTCACTTCATTTGCTCAGTTGATCTAAGTCTTCCGGTAGGGATTCTTATTTTGCATACAATATTTGAATCGTGACCTAACAGTCATAAACACTAGTAGTTTATTCTTTCTGCAAAGCATTTTCCAGTATATATATGTACAGTAGTATAGTGTATATTAAAGTATTATTGAGGCAGATACATTGTAGGAACTTTTTTCTTACTGTCTAGTTCTTTTCAAATAAAAAAAATCTCATTCCAGTTGTTTGGCTTTATATATTTTGTAGTTTTCAGATAAATTTCATGAGGAATGCATATCAAAATAGTTTTTAAAATGCAAGTGTACTGTACAGTCAAATGAACTATGCCCATCTATTTCTTTCCTATGTAATTACCAACTTGAACATAGTACAGTAGCTTGATAATTTTGATATACAGTGCTGATTTTTGCTGATCAACACTTCATAAGCGGTCATGTTTAATAGTAGTTTATCCAGAGATATTTTAGAATTTTTATTATTTTTTTTTTCTTTTCAAAAGTTGTTGCCTTAACTTGTGTTAGTGAAATCAGTTTTTAATTTGAAGGGTTGTCTTCCCTATCAACCCTTTTATAAATATTGACACAATATTTTTCATTTGTTTGTCTTTTCTTTCTTGTAATGAAGTTTCAGATTTTTTTTTTGTTTTTTTGTTTTTGTTTGTTTTAGTAGATAACTTAGTTTTGCACATTTCCTCAAAACCCAGGCTGATACCTCTTCTTGTCATATTGTTTTATTTTTATTTATAGTCAGTATCTTTACTTGGTAATTTCATTGGGCTCCATCTCATCTGATTTTGAGTGTTTAAGCCTACTTTATTTAAGGTCTTTATGTAAATATACTGGGATTCCGTATTTTCCATCTTTTACATTTCCTCTTCTGATTAGAATATATTGTCATCTGCTTATATTCTTATATTTATTTGATTTAAATAGATTCAGTTCTGACCTGCCCTTGTATTTCATTTTAAAAATTTGTCTTGTCTTCTGATGCTAATATGTTTATTTCTGGCATATTTGTAAGTTTAGTAAGTTTTTGGGTTGGGCGCTTCCTTTATTAGTTCCAAGCTTCTTTTATGACTTTCTGCTACTATTGAAGTATTCTTTATTAGTTTGTTTCTTTCTCGTTCTTTAATGAAATGTTTAATTCTGTTTTCATATATGTTGCAGAATGCCCTATATATAGTGCTGCAATTGTTTGTCTGTCCCTTGTAATATTTCATTCCATTTAGCTATTTTGAAGTACTGTCGTAAATTAGCATACAATACTGTATTTTTTATAATCAGTGAATCTTGTTTGTGTTTTTCTTCTAAGTCATTTCTAGCAGAATACATTGCTCTTTCTTCAGTAGAGAGTTACCAGTAGTGTCAGTTGCATCTAAACATTTTATAATAAGATTTTTTTTTTCTATTAAACACCAGATCTGGTTCTTTATTGATGCTGTTTTTTTCTTCTCATAATCAAGTTGCATCTTCTTTATACAAATGTATGAAAAATCCAATGGAGGAATTTAGTTAACCATTTGTGCTCTATTCTAGCCTCTTAAGCTGTTGAGCCTGTACCTTTATACAATAAATGAAGTCTCCTAGTGCAGTACACTGATTTTTGCTCTTTAGTGTAGGTCTGTATAGCATTATTTTATCAGATTATTATTTCTTCAGTATTGTTTATTAGTGTGCATATGAATTAACACATGGGTGAGCTACACAGTATTGATATTAAGACAGGCAAACTGTAATAATGATTGACACTACACCAAGAGAGAGTTAAATGTAAATATTGCCATACTCAGGCCATATGTAGCTTATTGTGCTATTCTCTCTGATATACAGTATTAGAGAAATTAATGTTACCATACAATGGAGTAATTGCAACACGACCTAAAAGTGCCTATTATCTGAGTAGATTCTGAAATGTGTACTACAGGTTGACTATCATTAATCCTGCATCAACGGGACCTGTAGGGTGCCGAATTAGTGATTTTGCCGCATTTCAAAGTGGTTAGGTTAGAATACGCTCAACTCAATGGAGATATTTATACATAGGTGATTTCACCCAATTTATGCCCTATTTTTGACCCATTCCATTGTTCCAATCAGCCAAACTCATAGCTATTTTGCTAGTATTCCTTCTATTGTCGATTGAGTACAAGAAACTGCCTGTTTACCTATTTCAACCACCCAATAAAGTGGTCAGAAATTGGTAATTTGGCAAATTTCACACAAATTTCAGGAGATGCCAGTTTCAGAATAGGGTCCAGGAAAAAGC